GGCAGATATCGTTCGTCAAACTGAACTAGGCTATAATACATATTATACAAGTCTTTTTTTTGTAATTTAGGATATTTTTATTCATATTCCCACACATACAAATACATGCATTCATAGGCATGCACACACCACATACTAATACCTCCATCCGCCTAGTTTTATTAAAAAATCATCCTATCATCATCCAATCATGATCCCAATCCCATCTTCTGCTGTCTAGCACTTCTTTCGCCATGTATTTGTTAGTTTATTTCATTATTTTATGCAACCCAAAACACTCTAACCTGCCGCGGTTCGTATCTCTAGAGCCCGTCTAACTTGTCCGCTTTTCCGGGACAAATGGATTTTTGAAGGACAAGTAAAAGAGAATTTTACTCGCCCTAACGGACAAGTAGCCTGATTAGAACATCAATAACAAACAAAAAAATAACTAGGGAATCACTAAACCGAGAGAATGATTCTGATTTTATTACATTTATTGCAAGTTGCGATCGATTGTGGATAATAAATGTAGCAGGCCTACTGTCTACTGATTGTAAGGTTGCGCTGTTGACGCTCGCGCAGAGAAATCTACACACATGAGCGGAGCACACACACAGTTAACAACATACTCTGCCTATAAAAAATCTAAGTTTTTATATTTTAACATATGTTAAGCACTAAGCAGCCTCAATTATTTTTCCTCAATACCATCACGATTGAAAAAGTGACATTGATTTCCTACAGTTCAATAAACAGTTAAGATTAAGTCACTTACTGTTTATAAGCAATATTGGGTGTTTTTGTTCCATTTCAGCAGCGAAAATAGTTCCAAAGAAAAGTCACAGCAGAACCACGACGCATCTCACAGGAACTCATCCTGTTTTCATTACTGAATGATTCAGCATTTTGAGGATTCAATGACCCATTCATAAACGTCAACATCTGTCTCATTTTTGAATGAATCAACCGTTTGAACGAATCGTTTGAATTAATGAATCAATAACTCACTCATTTATACGGCCGCCTGCCGCCACCTATTGGCAGTTTAGTGTTATGTTTATAAGTAGCCTAGTATAATTCTTTCCAATATTTCTTATTTGCACATTTAAATCAATTTCATAACATTATTTTATGAAATTGTAATTTTTCAGTGTAAATGATTTAATTTCATCAGCCCTACCTAGGGTAACAGTATGCTTCATCTTTCATTTTAAATTCCTAAATTTGATCAATAAATTCAATTATTTAGAATAATAAGACACTATAGGGCATTTAATAATATTGGTGGAGGGGATGCCCTTAAAGGTACAGATATTACAATTTGCCTTTTTTAAATATCAAAGCTGATTGAACACTGATGAGAATATTGCTTCAGAATAATAAATAAATAAATTTTAAAAATCCGGACAAGCAACTTTTTTACTCGGACAAATTTACTTACTTGTCCGGAGGACAAGCACGTGAAAAGGCTTAAGAGGATAGTTCACTTTGAAATTAATTTTTGATATGTTTTAGCTTAACTCAAGGGCATCCAAGATGTTGGTGTCTTTGTTTCCACAGTAGTTTCAATTTTGATATATTTAGGTTTGACTATCCCTTTAATGTCGAGCCCTGAATAATTTCCTACCCATCCCTTGCTGCCACTGAAAAAAAAAAAAAAAAAAAAAAAAAAAAATCCCTACCGACCCATGACCTCAACTGACAACCAACCGGAACCAAACTTTTTTTTTTTTTAGGCCTTGACTTTTTGGGCCGTCAAGAGGCAGTCCCTTAGGAGCCAATGTGGTAGTTATACAGCTCTCAAATTTAATCAAAAATATCTTCATTTGTGTTCCGAAGACGAACGAAGGTCTTACGGGGTTGGTACAGCATGGGGGTGAGTAATTAATGACTTAATTTTCATTTTTGGGTGAACTAACCCTTTAAGGCACATTAACTAGTAGGAACATCACCAATATGCTTTACATTGACTAAGGCCGGCCCATACTTAGTTAGTCCTCAAATCATTACGTACTTTGCTAAACATGTAATGTAACTTTATAACTTTTGCACCCTTACTATAAGTTATAAATAGCTAGTAATTGATTTTAAGTAGGGAGAGAAAAAAATCTATTAAAATCGTAAATCAGATTTTTTTTAGGCCATATCGCCCAGCCCTAGAGCAGGTGCCACTCAAGAAATTGGCAGTTTAGGTTGTTTCTCTGCCATTAGCACACGGGCAATCTTGAGTTTAAACGACGCGCTGTGCAAGAGAGGGGTGTGATCAGCATGTACACCAGCGTGATTGACACTGCTAAGACATTCCTCCTGGCTCTGATTGGTTGTTTCTGACCGGGAGCGGTGTATTTCTCCAAATGGCAATAAGACCACTGGGAGGAACCAGAGGAGCTTGATTTTTTTTCACAGATTATCGGTCTCATATTCTACTGTCAGGACATAATGACAGTTTTAACAAATATGTAAAAAATATATATTTTTTTTTTTATATAGCTTTAAGAACAAAATCAGCAGATTAGTATGTTTTTCTGAAGGATAATGTGAGGCTGAAGACTTGAGTAATGATGGTGAAGATTCAGCTTTGCCATCATATATTCAAATAGAACAGTTATTTTCCCAATATTTTGAATAAAATAATATTCTGAGGTTTCTTCAATAAAAACCTTTGTGGTGGAGCCAGAAAAAAAATTTAGCGGGTCAAATAGAAATTGTAACTATTGGCCCACACTGATTAGTAGGGGAAAAAAATCTGCTAAAAGTCAGATTTTATTTAAAAACTGAGCAGGTCTTACTCAAAGTCTCATATCTTCTGCCCTGATAACCTGAGTCTGACCTCATTCAGGACATAAAACACACCCTGATACCAAAGCGATGTGGTCCAAAGAGAACTGAAAAATTTCAGCAAAAAAAAAAAAAACCCTAGTAAAACCACTGGAACAAAGTACTTAAAGAGTTCCTCAACAGCAATCACCACTGCATTGACATTCCCAGTCGTCTGTTTCTCGTAGACACTCAAATACGCTCTCACTCAGCCGCTCAAAGAGCTTCACTGAACGCTCACTCTTCCTCCTTACTGTACATAAAAAAGCGGTAAATATCATGTCGCCACTGAATCATAGTTTTGTACTGCCTACAGTGTGTCCTCACACAATCCCTCTCTTTATGACACAATCATGAGGGTTCTCAACTCTGGGCCTCGAGGTCCACTTTCTAGCAGAGTTAACTCCAGCTCAAATCAAACACACCTGAACTAAAAATCTACAGGCAGGTGAGTTTGATCAAGATGGAGCAAAACTAACATACAAGATACAAGAGAGTAGGTTAACCTGCTTCCAGACAGCCCACTTCCAAATGGACTCCTGCTTTCTGAAAACTGAGCCCTCCATTATATGTTTGACATGACATTCAACGTGGTAACTGGGGAGCACAAAAGACTGGGTATTGATACAGATTTAGAAACCATCCATATGTTTTTCAACTGCACGTAGAAAGTTATTAGGTGTAATATTAAAACATTCGCGAACAGTACATCACCATTACAAAAGGAAGTGGATTTTATAAGATGGATGAGAATTGTTTTGCCTCCATGTCTTAACTTTACACTGGCTGATGCGGAGCTCTGTCACCTTCAACGCCACAGAAACCACTCGTCACCATGGCAACCAATGCCAGCATCAATGAGGTGCCCTGTGAATATCAACATGCAACCGGAACAGCTCCAGTGCAGATTAGACACAATAGACAATACCATCAACAAATAATAAATTGTAACAAAAAACCCCCAGACATTTCTCCTAACAGACATCCTCTAATGTAGTCCACAGATAACAAGTCTGCGGTTACATAATCATGCTGCAAACGTTTGAGATCACCACGGTTATAAAAAAGGATGTGCCGATCACTGAGGAGTGTGCGAATAAAAGCTATTGTTCGCCCAATTGTCCACTGAGATTCATTTCGATTTTGACCCAGTGTTGCTCAGAACAGTGCGCAGTCAAGATGAGAAGGAATGAGAGAGCTTGTCTGTTCACTGTGCTGTATGTGACCTGAATCTGCAATGAAGACAAACGCGTCCAAACACAAACCCCCTTTATCTGGTGGAAATGAAGCAGCCATTCACGCAGAGACATACACCGATGCATATGACAGGCAGAGACACTGTGTGCAAAGACACGTTAAAGGGATGTTTACGAAACAAAAAGCATGTCATCATTTACTCACCCTCATGATGTTCCAAAACTGTATTACTTACTTTATTCAGAGAAACGTAACATAAGAGGTTAGCCTGAATGTGACAGACTCCATCCACCTTTAATTTTTTTTCCCCCATACAATAAATAAGTCAAAGTGTAGTTCTGGTCTATAAAAAAGTAATACAGCTTTGGAAATACATGAGGTTCGGTCAGTGAATGATGACATAATGAAAAATGGGAGACTGCATTGTAAAACCTAACAAAGGCAATTCTGTGACTGTATGCAATTAGATGGCCTTGAAATTGGTTAATAAAGTCAGTTTAATAATAATGTTTGCTAAAAATACGATATGGAATGCTTGCAAATCCTAGATGTTTCAATGACGAGCTCTGATGTGTTTTGAATATGAAATTCTTCACATAACTGTAACCAAGTTGACTATATTTTTTGAGGGAAGCACTATTGCATTTGTATACCATATAAGTGCTATGGATTTTGAATATACTGTAGCCAATATTTCGAGACTTCACAGATGTATAACTGCAGTGACATGATTGGCTAACTTTCAACTACTCAATCCAATATAGCTATCCCATCAACCCATTTATTAGCCAGGTTAGCAGTTGTACTGGATTGCAGCGTGATTTATCTTATCGGAAACATTTAAGTGTCTCAAAAACACTGCTTCCTTTCGCTCCTGATATTTTTAAATCCGAATTAGGTCCGTTTCTGTCTAATAAGGGACGGCGGTGGAGGTGGACAGCGCGGTTAAGCGGCTGCTCGCGCTCCTCACACGCGTCCACAGATTATTTACATTATAAACTTACACTTCAAGAATACGGTCCCCTTTTGAGATTCCAGCTCGATCAGCCGCACCGCCCGGTAACACGGCGCTGACGTGCTGCAGCGGGGCGTAAAGTTCGCCGTTGATGCTTCTCAGCTGCCCTCCTTCGCTTACTTGACCGCGGACGTTAAAGCCGTAGCCCGAATCCGACTTGACGATGCGGACCAACCGAGGCCCGGAGATGACTGTGGTCGTGACGAGGCCGCCGGCGCACGTCGCCGAGCTCATGCCGGACCCGTTGCGAGCCGCCGAGTGAAGCATGGAAGGGGCAGCGGAGCGAGTGCCGTCTCCTTCGACAACATCTGCCATCTTTATTTAAAGAAATCCTGCCTCAACAGCGGGTACGGGCGCCGAAGTGCTACATGAGCTTATTGGCTGGCGGAGCGCGTCAGACTCCAGACGGGAAAGACTGACGCCAAACCGCCCCCGTCACGAGACACTGCTGCATTTGCGTGCCTTGAAAGTTACTTCTGTCACGTAACAACAAAGCAGTGCACCATGGGATATGTAGTTTCATTTAACTACATGTTTTGCATAGAATAGATTCCAATTCTATTAATAATTTAAAATACATTTTATGTAGATTATATAAATAATAATATAACAATTTTATTAAATTGAGGAGTCACGTGCCGATTTGGGCGGGGTCTGAGCCGGTGTGGTGAAGAGATGGGTCCCATCCGTCTATGGTCCCATCTTAGTTTAGGACCCAAGCAATCCGATTGGTTCAAAGCTAGTTTTCTGCTTAATCGCTTTAGTGAAAATCACTTTATTATAGAAGACGTTAGAGTCTACGTTATAACGAGTCATTATGTCTTATAATTTATAGCCTATGTTTAAAGTTCTCGACTGAAAAACTAGTAAATGTCGTGACACAATAAAATTTGTATTTTTAAATTTCGCTGCCTTTTCTCTTCTGCTATTGACACAACCTACTATGAAAAACACTATACCTCTGCTTTTATCTTTTATCTTATCTTGCACATTCCGTAGGATTTAGTTAAAACTTGAGTTAAAAAAAATATCCCTTAAGACGGCCACCACAAGATGGAGACATTTTCTTCACATATTGCACGAGTGCAAATATGACAGTGAATGTTAGTGGTAGTTAGTTGCAACTTGTCTGATCCCTGAATTGGGAAACTTGTGCTTTATACTCCAAACGAAGTTTATAAAAAAAAAAAAAGTGACTGTACATATGTGTGCATCTTCCCCTTTAATGGGCTTTATGCACAGCTGCACTAGGCCTACTACCTGAACTTAAACTTAAGCCAGCTCCTTGTTTCCTGTCTGCCATTATTGGCCAAATCGATTAATTCAGGTGTGCCTGACCTCAGTAGTCACGGAAACAATAATCAAACACACTCATCAATTTGGCCAATAATGGCACACAGGAAACAAGGAGCTGGCTTAAGTTCAGGAAGTAGTGCGGCCTGACAGGTTATGATGTTATAGTTTATGTCAAGATGTCATAACAAAGACATCTTAAACAATGTCATATTTGCATTCAAAATGTAATTATAGAGCTGGTAAGTCCCGCCCCTTCCGCTAACCCCTGCTGGACCGTCAATGCAAGTGAATGAGAGAAAATAATTATTTTCTAATCCCGTTTGAATTGTGCAATGAACGTGACATATGTTGTCTGTGAATTTGTTATATAATGTTTCGTGTAAAGAATGCTGCAATTTAGCGGGTAGAATTTTCATACGGTTAGACTTTGTGTGAGAGCACTTTGTGGACTACAACTCTTTCGACGTGTTTGATATACATCACCCCCACTAGCACACGGATCCCGCTAAACATGCCTGTGTCTTTGGTGCACTTTACCACCTTCTTTTAGGGGGAGGACAAACTAGTTGAGGTGGTGAAAATCGTGATTTGCATAGACATCATATAGGATATCTATGGTGATTTGTGGAGGGTAAATGTGTTATGCGGCAACGTCACATATGCGACGTGTAGTCTTTCTCATTATGTCTATTCCACAACTGAGGATCATACAATATACTGTCAAACTCGTTACATGAGAAATTATATAAAAAATTCACAGACAACATATGTCACATTCATGGCACAATTCAAAAGGGATCAGAAAATATTTATTTTCTCTCATTCACTTGCATTTTTCAACCTAAAGGTCCACTTGGAGTTTTACGGATGGGCGGGACATACCAGCTCTATTGAGCGAAAGACACTTAATGACAGTTGCCGTTATAAACATGCATAAACCCTATTTCATATTTAAGACATATGTCATGTCATGGTTATGAAGGTGTCATGTCAGTCTTATGCACACCCCTTCAAGTAAAGTGTTACCAAGTAATTTATTCATTTTGAATCTTATTTTGAAAGGTTAAGAAAGTATATTTGCCCTAAAGTCAGAACATTTTGTTTTTATGTTTTGGCCTTGTCAGTCAAAAAAAGGGGAGGGCATCAATAGGGTTTAGGAGGTCCTAAATTGATGCCCTCCCCTTTTTTTGTAATTTGGACTAATCTAAATGAAGTCATTTGAGTGTTTCAAAAATTATTATTATTTATTTTTTGTTTTTGTGAATGCTGGGACAGGAGAGTTCTTGGTTGCCAAACTGTTAGTAATGTCCTGTTGTGGCCTTCCTGATATTGCATATAACAATATGTCTCTATTATGGAGGGTTTATATATATATATGAAGAGCATGCAAAAGCCTCTAAGTGCCATTTGAAAATTTCTTCTAGAATGATCATTTTTATCAAGCTTGTATATTTAAGTTCAGTGATTTCACTTAAATTGCAATGATAATTACCTATTAATTGTTATTTAAGTGAAAATACTGAACTTAAATATACAAGTTTGATAAAAAATCATCATTAAAGAAGAAAATTTCAAATGGCATTTAGAGGCTTCTGCATCTGAACTCTTCATATACATATATAATGTGTCTGTGAGTATATGTGGTTGAAATGTAATAAGACTTTGGTGTTATCTTAATATTATATGCAGGGAGAGAAATAATATTCTTTTTGTTTTGCTTTTCACCTCTGGTGTTTAAGTATTTAAGACCAATTAGGTCCCTCTCTGTTTAATATGGGGGCGGTGGTGATGGAGTGCACTAGTGTGGAGCATGCTCAATGCAATGGGCTGGGATTCAGAATGATGCACAAATTGGCTGGTTTCACAGACAAGGCTTGCGCTAGTCCCAGACTAAAATGTTGAAAGCAACTTGCAACTGAAAGCAACTTGCACTAATATCTTACAATATGTCAGTGCCATTGTTTTGTCTCACGATGTACACCAGTAATGTTGTTGTTTTTTTTTCACGTTTATAAAATCTACTTTATTGTCCTAATTGAACTAAGGCTCTATTCCGGCACTGTCTGTGAAACCGGGCCTAAATGTTTCAGAAGTCTGATCTATGAACTGTTCATATCATGACATCTATCAAAATATACATCTCTCTCACTAATCAATTCATGTGAGGCCCCCTTTGGTGTGGTGTGGTATTGTTTTCACATTTCCAGGAAATTATCAGTCTAAATGCGTCACTGTCATTTTATAGTGTAATTTGACAATTGTCATTGTGAGTATGTTATGTTAGCTGTGTCAATGAAAGGTAAATGTTTCCATATAGCCTTAAGATTTAACAGATTAATTAAACTGCTGCCACAAACACACATTTCCAGAGAAGAACACCCACATATTGTAAGTTAATTCAAATCTTTAAAAAGTTTATTTTATTATTTATTTATTTTTTCAGATGTACCATAACTTTACAGGCAAACAATTTCTGTTTGGACAAAGTGTAGGACTTTATTTTACAGTCCTGTTCCCCATGTGCATACTCATTATAGAAATGGCAAAATAACTAACCATGAATATACCCCTAGAAACTAACCTTAACCCATGTTATATTAACCGTATCTTACCCAGTGCTTTCTTGGGTAAGTGCACGTACTGTAAATGTACAAGTGCAACCGGACTAAGTTATTTACCCTTTTTAAAGTTTTCATTGCAAAGCATAGTGATGCTGGAGATCAGGGTGACGTACTCCTGGAAGTCCACAACACCATCAGCATTTGCATCCAGATCCTTAAATATTTTGTCCAGAGCTGCCTTGTCTTGGGTTTTCTTTAACACAACACATTCAAAAGTGTTGTCAGAAACAAGATCAGTGCAGTGATGAATCAAACGCCCCATATTTATTAGCTCAAAATATATTCATTATGAGAATTAATTTAAAAGGAAATAAAACATTGTTTTAAAAAAATTATAGAAAGGAGCCATTTTAATACCTAACTCTTAACAAAAATCTGATAACGAAAAGAAAAATTATATTTCAAATGTTCAATGTATGAAACAATTACTCCGAGACTCACTCCAAATATGTCTCCTAGCTCTGCGGTGAGGAGGTCCTTCAGCTCGCTTTTGCTCAGGGTCAACTTGTCTCCCTCTTTTCCTGAGTGTTTATGAAAGACTGCAATCAGCTGAGCCATTGCTTTCTGAGTTTCTGTGAAATTAGAGTGATACAAAACAGGTGTGTCATTAATAACAATAATCAAGCAAAGTCTACGTGTCCACAACATCCAAAATTATTAGTAGTGGAGATGTCAAAAATACACATATATGAAATGTCACGTCCAGCAACAGCATAACAAACAGTTCAAGTTACACCCCTCTGGAGTCAAACATAAGAAGGGCGGGACCTGTAATTGTCTAAAGAGTGGGAGTTTTCAGAAAAGGGGGGTTAAAAAACACAGTTTTAATCACGGCCAACACCCTGCACATTCCCTTTAATTAAGACGTGAAAGAAGGAAGGAAAGAGGTCTACTCAATTTTGTAATTTCATCCACTACCAACATGCTTCCTCTTCCCAACACACAAACTCTTAAACTATTGTGTCAAAATAAAAACTATCTATCTAAGGCTATCCAAATAATTAATCAATGGTTGAAAAACATACCACATACAACAGGGCTAAAGGCGCACCGGGGTAAAAGGCACATTTAGACCCAGATGGCACAAAAATTCAGCTCAGCACTTTTCTTAACCAACCACTTTTGATGAGGCGTGTGGAAATTTGGCAGGTTTTTTTTTTTTTTTTGGTGCTGATTTGATCTAATATATATTTTTCAAAATGTTGTTGATTTATGTAGCAAAGGAGAATCGATAAAATCAACAATTTTTTGAGACCGGTCCTGTGAATGATTTTAAGTTTTATTCAAGGTACAACAGTTTATCAAAAATGGAGGAATCTGTAAAAGTATGGTATTTAGGGTAAGAATCATATTTTAGAGAGAATCACCATTTGTAATGAAACCATTATTTAAAAAAAATTATATTAATCATATAATAAAATGCCATATTTATTTTTTATTACTATAAAGCTATATTAAATTGTTATGGGATCTCATTTAGTGCTTTCAAAATCTTTACTTTTTAAAATAATTTTGTTTCTGTATTTTTAAAATGAACATTTTAATCAATTTCTTTACTGAATAAATGGAATTATTTTATTGATCAAAATACACATTAGAATAGTGCAAACTTTGCTAGTGATTGTTGAAGTTTTAACTTAAATATTATTAAAAATCTAAAGTTTGTGCCTTTTACCCCATGCTGGTTTTACCCCATGTCAGATTTTTAAACAAACAAACCATTTTTATTTATTTTCACACAAAAGCTGTTACTCCAACAAAGTTAAATAAAAAACACTTTTTTGTCTGCAAACATAGGAGTAGTGAAAAGTACAATTTTCTTAACATTTTGCATTTAGCCCCATTGTACCGAATATAGGCAATAACTCAATATAAGAAAAGGAAGGCTGCAAGAATGCTTAAACCATCAAATACAGCATAGTGCTCTATATTACAGTGCCAATCATTAGTTCAGAAGATAAAACATTCAGTAAAAAAATGTAAAGTCTCTTACGTGACATGGTGTTGCAGAAGATTGAGGTGAGCAAGGCGTGATAGAAAAGTAGACCAAGCGAGTGCGGACTGAAGGGACAGATCGAGTGTTATATGCAGTGTAAAATGCCACACACCCCTAAATTCACCCTCTCAACATTCCAACCATTTACACACAAACACACCTACATTCACATCCCTCTCTTGTACTCTGCCCTACAGGCTATGCTCTCTTATTGTTCATCCCCTTAAACCATTGAAACTCCTGTTGACTTGGAGTTTGCCAAATATTGCTACACACTCTCAATGAAAGTGCGTATCTATACCACAAATGTAATTTCTTGTGCCATTTGTATGCCAAAAATGTTTGTTTTGCATGCATAAGCTATGCACTGAAAACCCCTTGGGTAGGTTTAGGGGTGAGGGGAGTGGGGAGTGCATGGCATGCGTATTAAACAACATAAAGTGTGTATCATACTATGCATGCGAAAACTGCGTATCATAAAGACGCAAAAAATATTTTTGACATATAAATAGAAATAATATTTGTTGTATTGGTAGATACGCACTTTCATGAGATCAAGCAGGTTAGCTTGGCATCTCCTTGTAAAGTCTCCAACTCAAGTTAAACCAGTTCCTAACTGTAAATAAAGCCTCATATTTGAGCCTTTGGGCAAATCCATTGTCAATTGCTTCTGATTTGTCAGTTACATGGGTGTATCTGAGAACCACTTTTTGTGAAACAGTGAAATAATCTTATAGCCTACTACAGAAATTAAATCTAACAGTAATTATGTTGAAACTCCAGTTGTGAAATCATTATACGGCATAGGCTACTCATTTGCTAATATACTCAAGTTGAATGAAAATGTTAAGTATTCTTTTGCAAAGATGTCACCTGTATTCGTCAAAATGACAAAGCCCATAATTTGTTTTCTTTTAGACTGGAAATAACTTTTACATAAAACATAGATAGACACAAATATAGTGAGTGACCTGAAACTGAAATGAATACAACTTTTGAATGTTATAACAACAAATTCATTCTTTGAGATTAAAGTTCTGAACATGAGATAAAGTTCATTCCATGTGGCTCTGAGGACTAAAGTATCAGTTTAAAGATCTATTATGAGGGCCACCACAAGATGGAGACATTTTCTTGAAATATTGCATTCCATGAGCTGCAGTGAAGATTGATGTTTAGAAGTTATTTGCAACTTGTCTGATCACTGAATTGAGAAAAGCACTTGTGTTGAAACAACATGTGTTGAAAAAACAACATGTGTTAAAAATACTCCATAATAGAGTATCAGTGGTTAAAGCTAAACGTATATTGTAAAACTTTCATGTTAGCTTAATAATACAAGGAAAGACGGACAATAACAGTTGTGTTTTGAAACATAATTTCAACAACATAATAACAACAGTAAAAGAGAAAAAAAAAGTTATCTTGGTTTCCTGAGATAAGGGAACGAGTATTGCGTCTGCTGCTGATGGGGAAAACTCCCTTAGTGCTACTTCATAGCCATAAAAGTTTAGTGATCTACATGCATGCTTAATGGCTTCTCAGTACGAAATGCACAAATCAATGGTGGGAAATGCACAAATCAGTGGCGTAACTGCATGGAACAATCATTGCACAGCCCTCCAATCCGAGTGCAGATCCCGCAAGAAGGGGCGGGGCATCTGCCTGTAAAGTGGCTCATTTCGCCATATGATTCAGGTTAAATAAAATGAATCGATAAACGCCGTACACAATATTAGTTCCCTTATCTCAGGAAACCAAGGTTACGTTAGTAACCAAGTCTTCCCCTTTTGAACGGTCACTTCGTATTGCGTCTGCTAGACGCGATGGGGAACTAACCCAATCATGCCGTGCTACTGTATGTAAGCAGAACGACATGTTCTCTGGCTCCAGCCTGGCACACTTGGACATGAGCCAGGAGGGCAGTAGGGCTGATGGGCTAATCGTGCCCTGAAGAGTGTTCAGAGATTGTTCGGAATGGTGGCCCGGGCTCGTTCAGAGGCCAGCTCCAACTATACAGAGAGGATATGTGAGGATAAAATTAGGTGAAGTTGGGTGGCGAGGACCAACCAGCTGCCTGCCGCACATTTGTCACCAATAGACACCCACTCACGAAGAGCTGCTCCGACTGTCTGAACTGTGCAGAGCACTCTACATGCTCTTCGGGCCCATACCGGGCAGAGCAGGTGTAATTGTTGCTGGACTTCAGATGTGTAAAATGCAGCAAGCAAAATTACTAGAGCTTTGAACGGAGTCAGAAGTCAAAAGCACTTTGGGCACGTAGCAGTGCCTTGGCTTGAGGGCGACTTTAGAGGTCACTTGGTCCAAACTCAAGGCAGAACTCTTTGACAGAGAGTGCTTGACGGTCGTCTACTCACTTGACTGATGCGAAGGCTAGCAAGAGTACAGTCTGCAAGAGTGGCTTTAATTCAACCGACTGTAGCGGCTCGAATGAAGATCCTTTAAGGGCTCTGAGGACCGTTGATAGGTCCCAGGAAGTTATGGTAGAGGGGCAAGGCAGTTTGAGCCTCCTTGCCCCCTTCAGGAAGCTGACGAAATTGTAGAAATGAAAGAACCAGCAGTACTTCACATAATGCAGGGTCTTCTTGGCTCTGGGCTGAGTACCACCTGGAGAAGACGGACCACTTAAGGGCATAGAGGCATCTTATGGACGGGGCTCTAGCCTCATAAATGGTGTTTTTGATTCTCGCTGAGATCTCCCATCGAGGCGTCACACATGGAGTGCCAATAGTTTGGGACGGGAGTGCCAAATCGCCCTGTTCGCCTAGGAAAGAAGGTCTTTCCTCAAGGGTATCAGCCATGGGGCTGTTGTCAGCAGCTTAATCAACTCAGGGAACCAAGGTTGGGTCCATACAGTGAGGGGTCACTAGAAGGACAATCTGTTTGATGACCTTTTGATCCGTTTGATGACCTGAGGGAGGAGTGCAACTGGAAGAAAAGTGTAAAGAAGGAGGCCGGGCCATTTGTGGGCCATAGCATCCCTCCCTTTTGAGATAAATATTGGGCAGTGAGAGTTGTCTTCGAAGACGAAAAGGTCGACCTCTGCCCTCCCGAAAATACTCAAGATCATTTGGACCGTCTGGGGATAAAGAGTCCAATGTGGACACATTGCCCCAGAACAGCATGTCTGCTCCCTGGTTGAGTTTGCCCGGCACATATGTCGTAAGCGCAGGTATGCTCTTGTCAGTAGCTGTCAGTGTGGAGTGAAAAGGAGGGTAAGGTATTATAACCTCTGTCCACTTTAGTGGCATGCAGCTATATATATCTGAATTATAGTGGGGCCCACCAACTAAGAACGTATTGCTGCAAAATCTTAATATGTTGCCCAGTGTAAAACCACAAACAATAAAGACAGAAATTAACTTTTTATACATTTATATCAATTTAGGGAACAGAAAACAAATAAATAAACAAAACAATGCATTTACATGAACATAAATTGAATTGAAACCAGTTCAACAAATGAAAGCAGTATCCACCCAAATAGTCAAAAAATCAATAGAAAGACATTTACAAATGAAATCTTGCAATTGAGTGATTCTTTGAGTAATTAATGAAATCACTATAAAGAAAGTTGAAGTAGTCAATTTTCAGGATGAAGTCCACATACAAAAAAACAAAAACCTTCAAAAGCTCTTCCAGTAATCCAAGGAAATCCAAAAAAAAAAAAAAAAAAAAAAATAGATAGCCCACAGACATGGTGATGCAGTAAGATCAGTCCATTGGTTTAGAAACCACTTGATGTCCATTTCAGTTGAGCCTTAGCAACTCATATAGATTCAACAATCTCAAAATACAAAGCAAAGTATAAAGAGTCCATCTACAAAAAAAGATATAATATAATATATAAATCAAAACAACAAGGAATATTACACAACATTAGGAGGAACAAAACTTACATGATTGAACTGGAAACAAAGTTTCTCAATCAGGACTCCAATGAGCGTTGCAGGAGGTGCTTGGATTAGTTGGATAAAACCGTTTCCCTCTTCCAAACAAACTGACTTGTTTTATACTACTCTCCTTTTAAATACAAGAGATTCTAACGCTCATGCGCCCCCTGGTGGTGTGTATGATACCAAAGTAACAGCTACTGTTACAGTATGTCATTGGGGTCATCAGGTGGGCACCCTGCTTCATTGACGTTTCATTGATTGAAGCCCAGAACGTCTCCAGAAGGCACAAAGGTGTTCCCAGTGTCCCAGGTACACCCCCCTCCGTGCCATACACTCCATATCCCTGATGGTCTCTGCCTGGCAGGGGCGTACTCCCTGAGTCGGGCATAAGCCTGTAGAGTCGGGCATAAACCTGGCCTGTGAAGGCCAATGCAAAAGCGAGGCGTGTTTCGGTGCAAACATTCCCTAGTGCTGTTTTTCAGTTCCAGAACAAAATTCCATCACTGACCAGAAAAAAATCTATTCTTAAATCAGTGGCGTGTTTCGCGTTGTTCATAATCCTGTTTTAAGCGTGCATGCTTGGCCATAATGTAGCGGGTGCACAACGTGCATACGCTTGCAGCAGATGCAGCAGTTTTTATTTTTGCAAATCATATATTATAACAGGGAAAAATATTAACACATGAGGGAAATCATTGTGGTGTCCATGAAGATGTAAAAAATGTAAGCCTAAATCTAGCTTACACATTTGCCCAAATTTTTCAGGCTAATTGTAGGTAGATTTATAATATATAGAATGTACGTTAGACTTAATGGCAATAGGTTACTTTCATTGCCATTACAGTGAGGGGTGATAAACGGAGAAATGAAAGTTTCAGAACTGAAAACGTCCTTGTTAGTTCAATATAAGCTTTTATTGACACCAGCCCCAGCAAACGACTCATTTTTAAAAGTGGGGAACTATGATGTCAAAGAGGATAAAACACCACCCCCGCAGTAGAAGATCAACTCCTACTATAGATACAGTCGGTTGGTCTGGGAACGCCCACACCACGTCACGTGATATGAATTTAGCCCGTGGGGGAAAACATTGCATTGGCGCTCATTGAAATACATGTGACAATCATGCCAAAGAGTTGCTGTGTCGTTTTATGTACCACCAATAAA